TAAATGTGGTGGTCCCACCATCACATGGTGTGGGACCATACACAACAAATCTCCCCCTCACACACCATGTGAGGAATTCGCCATACCGGCGATCAATATGTAAAATTCAATTTAGGGGGCTCTAACAAGCCTGCTTCCTTTCTGCAAAACTCAAACTTCTCTCTCGGTAGAGGTTTGGTCATCATGTCAGACACGTTGTCATCAGTATGGATCTTCTCAACAACGAATGACTTCATCTCCATAGCATCTCGAATCCATTGATATCTAACCTCAATGTGCTTTGATCGAGAGTGAAAAGTAGGATGCTTACTGAGATGGATTGCACTTTGACTATCACAGTGCAATACAAAGTTCTCTTGAACTAGGCCAAGTTCATGCAAGAACTTCTTCATCCATAACAACTCTTTGCCCCCTTCAGTAAGAGCAATATATTCGGCCTCTGTAGTGGATAATGCAACACATTTTTGCAACCTTGATTGCCATGAGACTGCTCCCCCTGCAAACTTCATCAAGTATCCTGATGTGGACTTTCTAGAATCAACATCAGCAGTCATATGTGTATTTGTGTATCCATCCAACACAGGTTTATCATTACCAAAATATAAGCTGAAACTAGAAGTACATTTGAGATATCTAAGTATTCATTTCACTGCTGACCAGTGTTCTTTACCAGGATTGAAGAGGAACCGACTAACCACACCAACTGCATGAGCTATATCCGGCCTTGTGCAAACCATGACATACATCAAGCTACCAACTGCGGATGCATAAGGAACCTTTTTCATCTCATCTTTTTCTTCATCACTTGAAGGACACTGCTTAGAACTTAGTTTAAAGTGGCTTGCAAATGAAGAACAAACAGGTTTGGAGTTGCTCATGTTGAATCTCTCAAGTACCTTTTGAACATATCTCTCTTGAGATAACCAAAGTTTCCCTTCTTCTTGTCACGTGTGATCTTCATGCCAAAAATCTGTTGTGCCGGTCCTAAGTCTTTCATTACAAAAGACTTGCTCAACTCTTCCTTCAATATCTGAATCTTTTTAGCATCATGGCTAACAATCAAAATATCATCCACATACAACAAGAGAATAATAAAGTTTCCATCTGGAAACCTTTTCATAAATACACAATGATCAGAAGTGGTCCTGTCATAACCATGATCCACCATAAAAGAATCAAACTTCTTATACCATTGTCTTGGAGCTTGCTTTAACCCATATAAGCTCTTTTTCAACTTACAAACTAGCTGCTCTTTTTTTTTCAACTTGCAAACTAATTGTTCTTTACCTTTTGCTTCAAACCCTTCAGGCTGCTCCATGTAGATCTCCTCATCCAAATCACCATGGAGAAAGGCAGTTTTCACATCAAGTTGTTCTACTTCAAGATTCAAACTAGCAGCTAAGCCAAGCACAACTCGGATTGAAGACATCTTGACCACTGGTGAAAAGATTTCTTCAAAATCAAGCCCTTTCTTCTGTCCGAAGCCTTTCACAACCAATCTTGCCTTGTACCTTGGCTGTGAGCAATGTTCATCAATTTTCAACCTGAACACCCATTTGTTCTTGAGTGCTCTCTTACCTTTAGGAAGCTTCACTAACTCAAAGGTATGGTTTTCATGCAAGGATTTCATCTCTTCTTGCATTGCTTTCAACCACTCACTTTTCTTCTCATGTGACATAGCTTCATCAAAGTATTCTGGCTCCCCTATCAGTAACCAACACATACTCATGAAGAGAATATATGGTGGAAGGTTGGCGAGGTCTAGTTGACCTCCTCAATTGTGGCTTATCTGGAGCTTTCTGTATAACCTGTTTAGGAATAACATCAATATCATCATTGGCTGATTCAGGATCACCAACTAATGGCTCAATAAGAGAACCAGAGAACCACCACCATCATCATTTTGCAAGTCTCCCCCATGATTAGCAGGCATTAAAGGTAACTGTGGAGTAGGTCTTGGATTTGAATTAGATGGAATAAAAGTGGTAGTCTTTGTTTTCTCCTTTTGTTCAAAGTCATCAATGGTTTGATCTTTAAAGAAGATAACATCTCTGCTTCCCACAATTTTCTTCTCCTTTGGATCCTACAACCTATAGCCAAACTTATCATCTTCAGAACCGAAGAAAATACACTGTTTTGTCTTGCTATCAAGTTTAGACCTTTCATCTCTAGGAACATGTATAAATGTTCTGTATCCAAATACTCTCAAGTGTGCATAAGAGACATCCTTTCCTTTCCAAACTCTATCTGGAACATCAAATTCAAGAGGAATTGATAGAGAAAGGTTGATCATGGCAACTGCAGTCTTCATTGCCTCACCCCAAAAGGACTTAGACAGCTTTGCATGAGAGAGCATACATCTAATTCTTTCAACAATGGTTTTGTTCATTCTCCCAGCCACTCTATTCTGTTGTGGAGTCTTAGGAATTGTCTTCTCCAACTTGATACCATGTTCCCTGCAATACTTCTCAAAAGGACCCCTGTATTCACCACCATTGTCAGCTCGAATACATTTCAGCTTTCTACCAGTTTCTCTTTCAACTCTGACATGGAAATCCTTAAAGACATCAAGCACCTAATCTTTGGATTTCAAACAAGTGGCCTAAATTTTCCTAGAGTGATCATCAATAAAACTAATAAAGTACAATGCACCTCCAAGAGACTTGTCAATCATAGAGCAAACATCAGTATGAATTAAATCAAGAATATGTGATCTTCTATGTGAAGGAGATCTTTGAAACGCAACTCTTTATTGTTTGCCAACTAAACAATGAGTACATGTTTTCAAGTTCATACCTTTTAATGAAAGGTAGTTCTTCTTGGCAAGGATGCCAAGGCCTTTCTCATTCAATGTCCAAGCCGTTTATGCCATAGATCAGTAGAGCAATCTTCAATTACATTTACCTCTTCTTTGATCACCTTAGCTTATGACATGTAGAGACTCATCTTCTTCCTTTTAGCAACACTTAAAACCTTTTCTTGACTAAGATCTTCCTCTTGGCTTCCATTTGTCTTTTCTATTGCTGGATTCTCTATCTTGCTTGCCATGAAAGAACCTGCTTGGACTTCTTCCTTGACTTTCTGTAAAAAGTGCATGAGATTCAGAAGTGCTTATGCCTTTCCTCCTCTTCTCTTCATTGAGGATACAATCCTTCACTGTTTTCAAAGTGATCTTCCCATTCGGAGTAGAATTGCTAAGTGACACCACCAAAGTCTTCCAACTATTTGGCTATGAACTCAATAGGATTAGTGCTTGCATTTCATCGACTAACTCCAGATTCATCAATGACAACTGATTCAAGAACCCTTGGAATACATTTATATGCACTGAAGCATCTTCACCATCTCTATACTTCAAATTCACAAGGTCTCTAATTACAAAAACCTTGTTTTGTGCACTCTCCTTAGCAAATGTTTCTTCCAACATCTTCCAAACTGTATAGCAGTCATGTTCTTGAGAAATATGATTAATGGACTTAGAAGATACCCATTTTCTAACATAGCAGTAGCCTTTCTATTTAGTCCATTCCATTTTGCATCATCCATATCATCAGGCTTTATTCCTTTACATTCAATCGGTAAAGCCAAATCATTGCAATATAAGTGATCCTCCATCATTGTTTTCCATAAAAAATAATTTGAGGAAGTAAGCTTTATCATGCCCGAATCTTCCTTTTCCATTTTAACTGCACAAGAAATTCAATCTACACAACCAGGCTCTGATACCACTTTGTTGGGAAAATTCGGAACTTAGGAACAACCGAACACCAATTTACCCAGATCAATTTAGTGGAATACAATTCACAAATCACAAGTCCCAATTGTTTTCCTCTTTGTGCAGTAAAACAGAATCAAACAATGATAAACAATAATACAAATAATCACAAAATCAACACCAAGATTTTTTACGTGGAAAACCTGATGTGGGCAAAACCACGGGACCGTAGTCCACCTAAAAACTTCCACTATCAACAAATAATGGGTTCACAATTGTTCTTCCTCAGACTCAACTAAGGGATACAACATATATATCATCAAGAACAACTTATTCTCGGATTACAACAAGATTAAAGGAGAATTATTTGAGAAAAACTCACAATACTGACAGCCAAAAACTCACAATACTGATAGCGCTGTTTTCTGTTAAAACGACCAGCTTCCACACCACCAATCTTTGATCCAACTGTCCAGAATGAAGAGTAACGTGTCTAGAAGCTGTTGTCAAAATCTCAGCCCAATCCAATAGTGAACGAGCTGGAAATCGAAGAAAGAGCACAGGCTGCTCTGCTGCCTCTTTTCTTTCTTTCTCTCTCGGTTTTCTTCTCCTCTTTTCTGTTTTTCAAATCTACATCTACAGCGCCTGAACCATTTAATTTTAATACCAAGAGACAGAAATTAATGTGGTGGTCCCACCATCACATGGTGCGGGACCACACACAATAGTAGTTTGCTAGGGTAGCTTTCTGATCATAGACTTGCCTAGGCACATTTTCATATTATAGTCCCACATAAAGTCCCTTATTTGAAATTTGGATCATTTGGACCTCTTTTTGGTTGTTATTTACTTAATTAGAAATATTTTTCATATTTCTAGAACTATTTCTTGTGCTCATTGTTTGTATGCTTATAAGATCTTTGATTCTACTCTATGTACACTACTCTTGTTTTGTCTTTGCTTATCAGCCAGTGTATCCCACAAATCTGAATAGGTTGCCACTATCTCTGCAAATGGTGAACGTGAGATTGGAGAAATGATAGCAAGAGCAATGGAGAAAGTTGGAAAGCATGGAGTGATTACTCTCGCTGTGAGTGCACTTCCTCTTTTTGACAAGATATGATCACTGGATAAATTTTTAGTGTAGGTTCTTATTGCTTTTGAATTTCACAGGATGGGAATACTTTGGATAATAAGTTGGAAGTTGTGGAAGGAATGAAGCTAGCTAGAGGCTATATTTCTCCCTATTTTATTACTGATCAGAAGACCCAGAAATGTGTAAGTTCAGATCAGTGTTTTAGCAAGTATCAAAAACCAATCAGCAGATTAGCATATTGAAATCCAAGAAATTTCCATCATAAAGATTTTTCCAGGAGATACCTTATTTTATCAAGTAGCCGTCTCTCATTAATGGCTTCTCTTTAATGTTTAATATTTTAAAGGGCACCCTGCCTTTAGATATAAGTTATGAATGGCCTCCTTTTGCTTTTGATCTCTCACTCACCATTGTTTTGGGTTCACCAGTGCTCTTGTTTATATGTCTTGATTAAATCACGCTTTGCATTTTTTGCAGGAACTTGAAAATCCATTAATCCTCATTTATGACAAAAAGATTTCAGACATGAACTCGCTTCTGAGAGTATTAGAGCTGGCAGTCAAAGTAATTTATGTTTTCTTCGATTTTTCTAAATTTTTGTTAGCTGCATTAAGTGAAAGTTAATTTCAGCTTGCCATTTTCTCATCTCTTGGTTACTAAATATCCTCTCAACAGAAAAGCAGACCACTTTTTATCGTAGCTGAGGATGTTGAGAGTGATTCCTTAGCCATGCTTATTCTCAACAAGCATCGAGCTGGATTTATGGTGATTAACTAACTTTGTTTTGAAGTTTCTTATAAGGTAAATTGTGTTGGATGGAAAAAAAATTTCACAAGTGTCCATTATACAATATTGCTATTCTGATGTAAAGCAATATATAAGAACGAGCTTACACTACATGAGTTACTTATTTATAAACATACCAATACATACACATGCATGTCTTTTGTATGTGTAATGTTGCTGATTGATTTGTGCAGCTGTCTGTTGCTTGCATGCATGAATAGAAAGCTAAATTATGCCTTTGGCTCTTCCGAATTATGAGATATATGTTGAAAGAGAGTTAAAATCTGTGGATTAGTTTTTCCGAATTATGAGAAGACATAACTTTCCTGTTGTTTGCTAAAACGAAAAGGGAAACTTGAGGCAATTTGAATCTTGCCAAATCAAAAGCAGTAGTATGACATCCTCAGGTGCTTCAATAAAATTAAGGATTTGATAGTTCCTACACAGACATCCTCAAATAGAAAGGAGTTTCAGGCTTAATTCTAGCTTTATTTTGACTCTAACACATGGTCTGATTTCAAATGGGAATTTTTGCCTTTTAAACAGCAACTGTCCTATATGCTTGCTATATTTGATATGTACAAAAAAAATACTCGACGTAAGGTGTGACTATTTTGATCTTGTACACATAATACTCAGCTACTTTTGTGTAACAAGACGTCATATTCAATTATTCATTGCTCTTTTGGAATTTACATATACTATCTCAGCTACTTTTGTCTAACAAGACGTCATATTCAATTATTCATTGCTCTTTTGGAATTTACATATACTATCTCAGCTACTTTTGTCTAACAAGACGTCATATTCAATTATTCATTGCTCTTTTGGAATTTACATATACTATCTCACTAATTGAAATTATTATTTGTAGGTCTGTGCCATCAAAGCTCCTGGTTTTGGGGAAAACAAACAAGTAAATTTGGATCATCTTTTTTTTTTTTAGATTAATGTGGGTGTTTGAGTCAGTCTGCGTGTATCATAACTAATTTCACGGGTCCTGAAGTTAACGATCATATAAGCCTCCAATGGCGATTATATGAGCAACCAAGGACTCAAACCTGAAACCACAGAAAAAACAAACCCCTTAGTTTCAAGTTTTTACCACTTGACCACCACCTAAATAGTTAATTGGTTAATTGGATGATCTTGCTATTTTAACCGGTGGGGAGGTAATATGATTTTCCTTTGTCTCGTACTCTACTCTTATAAGAATATTGTGGCTGGAATAACTTCTTTTGTACAGGTTATAAGTGAAAATCGTGGTTTAACCCTTGATAAAGTCCAAATTGAAATGCTTGGTACTGCTAAGAAGGTTTGGATGAAACTGCATGTTGTGTTCTTATGAGATTCTTCGAACCTAAGCTGACAGCATTCATGGCAGGTCATAGTGTCACTTGACAATACAATAGTTCTTCATGGTTGCGGAGACAAGAAATTGATTGAAGAAAGATGTGAGCAGGTGCCTGATGGTTTAATGTTTCTGTTTCATCTCTTTTGAAGATTTCTTTATAGTTAAGTCTACTATGAAAATAATTCATATACTATTTTTTATTCCGAGGGAATTTCTTTTGGAATTAAAACGATTCAGATGTGCGTTGACAGATTTTTGTATGAAATGATCTTAAAATTCCAGGATTTTTTTACTACAGCCTTTAAATCTACGATGAATTTCCAAGAAAGTGGAGTTTATTGCCATTATATATCTGGTTGTTTAATAATGCAATTGGGAACTATGGATGGTGTAAGAACATGCTTACTGTATCCTAAATTTGAATGTTACTTGAATTTTTTTTTTTCATATAGCTCTTTGCAGAATGTACAAATCCTGATTAAGTATTCTTGCACCAATTGGACCTAACTGTGAAGTACAATACTCAGTACTGCATGTAGTTGCTTTTACCTGTTTGTGATTGGAGAAAAGGGTTTCATGTGTGAAGGAGATTACCCATACAGAGACTCTATAAGGGTAATCAAGAGAATACTTTTCTCTACTTTTTATACAATCTTTCTAATGCTACATATCTGCATAAATTTTCGTAGCTAAGGACAGCCATAGAGAAGAGTACTGCCTTGTTTGACAAGGAGAAATCTCAGGAACGACTGTCAAAGCTGTCTGGTGGTGTTGCTGTTTTCAAGGTCTATTATTCATAATTCTAAACTTCCTAGATTAGCATGTTCATCTTAAGATGAACCCATCAATAAATTGTCTTCTTGCAGGTTGGGGGTGCCAGTGAGGCAGAAGTTGGAGAGAGGAAAGATAGGGTTACAGATGCATTGAATGCTACTAGAGCAGCAGTGGAAGAGGGTATTGTGCCAGGTAAATGGACTTTCATCAGTTAAAGGTTTAATAACTCTTCAAAATCTGAAGATGATTTGTTGCATTAGGTGGTGGTGTTGCTCTTTTGTATTCCACAAAAGCTCTGGAAAAACTTCAAGCTCAGAATGAAGATGAAAAAAGAGGCATTCAAATAATCCAGGACGCCCTCAAGGTTTGAGATTTGTTGGCCTGCAATTCTTGTAAGGGTTTACTTCAGTCAAGAAATACCTAACAATTGATAATGCTCTGCTGTAGGCGCCGGCACATACAATAGTTTCAAACGCTGGATTTGATTCTGCTACGGTTCTTGGCAAATTGTTGGAGCAAGATGATTTTGCGAAGAAGCGAGTGTAAATAGTAGCGGCCGAAGAATGCATTTTCCAAATGTAACTTGGCCAATCTACGTGAGGAAGAAAGCCTAGACATCTTGTTAATTAGCCTGCACTGTTGTGACATTTTCATCGACTCACAAGTCCCTGATCTTAAAAGCGATCTCTCTCTGTATATATCTACCAAGTCCAGAAATAACAAGAGTGATCCTAATTCTGATCAGCTTTGTGACATGGCTTCTCCATTTTTCCCAAGATTTTGTTGTTCCTTCTGATGATTCCGGATATTTGACTTTGTTAGAGATATTTAGATATAAAGTTACCATAGCTTAAATTCAAAAGGATTAGGTAGTTTCAGATAAAATAATGATAAATTAATATTATCTGATTTAATAATTCAAACATTTACTTCGTAATTTGTATTTATATATATATCAATAGAAACGAGAAGTTCAACTCTCTCGTCTTTTCTATTCTAACACGGTATCATAGCAAACACTAGTCTCATCTCCTTCTGCTTCTACGACTTCTCAACCTTCTCTTCTTTTTCACCCTACATTATCCCCCAACATGCCTAACTCTCACCAATCTTTCTCCATCAAACTAACTTCATCCAATTATCTCACTTGGAGTGCCAAATTCACATCATTCTTGAACTGCTACAATCTTAAATATCATGTTGAAGGCACAAAGCCAGCTCCTTCTCTACGAGTTTTTAATGTTAAAACCAATCAAGTAGAACCTAATCGAGAGTTTCAATCATGGTTTCAAAGGGATCAAATGCTGCTAAGGTGGATTATTTCTTCTTTGAAAGAAGGTTTTTTCATGTCATTGGAATGAAAACAAATTATGATGTTTGGCAAGCACTACAACAAGCTTTTGGTTTTGTTTCCAACAATAGACAACTTCAACTTCATTTATCGTTCAAGGAGTTGACCTTAGCTGACAAAACTATGACTCGGTTCTTAAAGCAAGCAAAAAATGCATATAGTTTATGTTATTAAACACATGTATGAACTTTTCAACCGATAATTAAGATTTTTTCATGATGTTGTGTTTGAGCTTTTTTTTCAATTAAAAACTTTCTAATCCTATTTGCAACATAGCGCGTGTGAGTAAGTTGGCTAGTTTAATCCTCTTTTATTTAGGATTATAGTTGATATTTTAGCTAATAAAATTGGATTATAGTTGATATTTTAGCTAATAAAATAGACACTTAATAGGTCACACGTATTAATAATTATTGATAATAAATTAAATTCAGATAATTAATTAAATATGACTTGATTATAAATAAATTTTAGAAATTAAGAATTAAAGTGTAATTAATACAAGAAATTACATTTATAGATCAAGAAAAATCAAATAAGAACTTGATTATATAAATTTCTAATAGCTATCCTAAAATAAAATATATAATATTTTGCATTGATTAAAATATTAGATTTTTTCTATAGATAGAATATAGATAGAATATTATGTCTCATATTTTTATATACTACAACAATAACTTATAGTAGATTTGAGAATAAAAAAAAAAGAGAAATTACATTTATAGATCAAGAAAAATCAAATAAGAACTTGATTATATAAATTTCTAATAGCTATCCTAAAATAAAATATATAATATTTTGCATTGATTAAAATATTAGATTTTTTCTATAGATAGAATATTATGTCTCATATTTTTATATACTACAACAATAACTTATAGTAGATTTGAGAATAAAAAAAAAAAGAAAAATGAAAGAGTTAGTATTTAAAGCCTAATAATCTTTCTCTTCTAAAAAAATTTTACAAAAATTATTTAATAATTCATGTGAATTATTTTTAAAGATAATATAATTAAATAGTTTGTAATTTATAACAACTTAATCTTAAAAAGATAATCATACTATGAAAGAAAGAATTGATTTTCATGTAATATTTTCACGAAACCTAAACAAACAATCTTATATCATTAGGATCCACGGAACTCTCCAAACATCTTTCATATATTGTTTTTGCTACATTCGTTGCATTTTAAATAACAATCTTAAAAATAATGTTTTTGCTACATTCGTTGCATTTTAAATAACCCAACAGAAAGATGCGTTGTTTGGTATTCACATCAAGTTTAGACCTTTTATCCATGAAAATTATGCACAGATGTTTTACGTGGAAAGACACGTGCGTAATTGATCGTAGGATACATCTTTGACGTATAGATCATTCCCACATTGACAATGAATGATGTCATTCTATTTCCTCAAGCTAGCTAAGTTAATTACTAAATATTGTAGGTAATTAAGGAACAAGTTCATATACATCGATCATTTGAAAGCACGTTCTGATTATCTCTTCTGTTTACATAATTGATTAAGAATGGCATCCAGGACAACAATTAACGAATGGTCTCTAGTCATCTCTTCGTTCTTGTACTGAGTAATGTTAAACATCAAGATAATATGTTAAGAAATTAAAAAAAAATTAAAATACACATTATTAGTCGTTGATCATAGTCTTAATAAGTGAGACTCGCTTGTAGATTTCATTAATTCCATGTTTAATGTGTATTCTTGGAGTTTTTTTAAAATCATATTTTATTACATTAGACCATCCCTGACAGAACAAGATGAACTGTAACAATTCATGCAAAGGTACAAACTCAGAAATCAAAGCATGCATGCATGCAAAATAAAGCAATTAATTAATCTAAATTTCTGCTTTTTGCAGCTGCATGAGTCATCTCTCTAAGCTTAAAAATTAACAAGAATATTTGAATTAATCGTTCATGATATATGGTTACATTATTAATTAATCTACGATGACATAAGTAACTGCGTGGATGGCACAAACCTCATATCGACTACCTCATCTTGATCATCAGGCTCGAAGTTGACGTCGTCGTTTACATCAAGAATCGGCTTCAAATTATCATCTTGCGTACTACAGTGATCTTCGCCATTATAAGCTTGCTTAAGCTGATCATCTAAGTAATTAGGCGATGATGATATCGACAAGCTAGAAATATCCTGCAAGTTGGCCGCGGTGGCCCATGCATTTGCAGGATCTTGATCTTGTAAATGTAGTTGGTTGTTATCTGGATTGTGAATAACAAATTCTTGTTGATCTTGATGTTCTTGTGGGTATTGATCATGATATTGCATGACTGGATCGTACATGTCGAAAGTATCCGTAATAATGATACTTTGGCAGTCATGATCGGTCTGATGATCAGGGGCTGCGGCAGCGGCAGCTGCTGCTGCTTGTGCTTGGATCAATTGAGTCTGTTGTTGGGCTGCAGCCTGGGCACGATATATAGCAAGTTGATGAAGAACAAAATCAAGTTCAGCCCTAGTGTATTCAATTTGACGTTGGAGTTCTCGAATCATTCGATAACATCCTCCGACGGGATCATTTGCCCGGACATCTGACTGAAAGATGATGGTACGCATGGCTTCGTCCTTCTCGGGAGGGTTAAGGTTCTTGATGATCTTGCTAATGTTGCTAACACCAAACAATTTATGGGCATTGAGGAATTGCCTCTGGCGATTGTGAGGGAAATAAGGGGCGAGAATGCAGTCAGGAGCGCACTTCCTGCGTTGGTATTTGCAAGCTGCACAAGCCTGGGTGGTGCTGTTACCAGTCCTTGAAATATTGCTCATATTTTTTCTGTTTGCTATTGTTGTTTTAGAGATGACGAGAGAATTCGGATGCGTTGCCGGCGGGGCTGGTGCTGTTTTCTTATTTAGAAATGGTTTCTCTCTTCTTTTTCGCTCTGCTGCTGCTTTTAGATCCTTCCTTTTCTCCCTGCCAACAAACCAAGAATCCCTTTCTTGGAGGACGGAGAGAAAAACAAGACGAGAAACAAACACATATGATGATGATGATGATGATGATGATGATATATGACAACCCAAAGACAGACAGATCATTTATTTACTTGATTATGACACATGATCAGGGAGTACAGTAGAGACTATTCTTGGGCAGGGGCGAGAAAATACTAGAGACACAGTCAAATTTAGTTAGGTGTTCAAAATCAATGTGTGGTGTTCAAGCTAAAGCCAAAAATGGGGTTTTTATCTGTATTTAGAAAGCTTTACAGGGTCAGAACAATCGCAGTCAAAATGATCTTGCTAATTAATACAGATTAAATTAGTTAAGTTTTCCTGAGATTTTAATTAGGACTTTCTAATTACTTCTTTAAACACAGCAGTGCATGCCCCTTAACTTGGACAGTTTGCCATTTGAAGGCAATTAAGCTTATCTTGACATGCAGATGCGCTTAGGGATACGAAATTATCCCTTTGCAAATGGCCGACTATCAAGATATTAATATAGTAATATAAATTATTTATTTTATAGTGTTTAATGAATTTATTTATTAAAATTTGTTTTTTATTTAATCAAAATATTAAAAAATAGACACCCAAATGGAATTAAATAAATAAAAAAATTATACAAAGCTTCATATATTAAAAATATTAGGGATACGAAATTATCCCTTTGCCTTGAATGGCTGACTAGGGGTGTTTTTGACCACCATCAAACTTGCCACGTGGTGGCATGCATGGCAATGAGGTTGAACTGTCGACTGACACCCATGGCTCCACTTTTGGAAGACGTTGCATTTGTTTTTAAAAGGTGTTTCTGCTTCGTTTGCAATATTACTACTTCAAACCACCAACGCGGCCACTCGAGGCATTGAAAAAAATTCAATAAAATAAATAAATTAAATATACTCTCTTTTCTGATGTGATTTTTCACATAATATATATATATATATATATATATATATAATTAATTTATATGTATATCTAATTAAATAAATTAAAAATTATCTATTTTAATAAATAAAAAAATCATTAATAATAACTACAAATAAAAATTAAAAAATTAATATATATCAAAATATTTAATACTTCAATACAGGTTATTTACTTTATAGTTGTTAATAAATTTATTTATTAAAATTAGTTTTTTATTCAACAAAATGATAAAAAAAACACCCAAATAAAATTAATTAAATGAAATAAAAGAGAGAGAAAATACCAAGTGAGATTATACATATTTGAAATATTATTAAAAAATAACTATTTTTTATTTTAAAAAATAAAACTAATATATATAAAACATAAAAAATTATAAATAAATCAAAATAATCTCTTTAAAAATCAAACTTTGCTAGGTACAGTAAGTCAAGCCATAATATAAACTTTTATTTAAAAAAAAAAAAAGATGCACCCCAATATTTTTTAAAAACAATAAGTCAGACAATACATGATGTGCTTTTCACCAGATTAAAGTAGAACGGTGCCGGAAAATCAATCCCTATGGTTCATTTACTTAGAAACCAGGATGTTTTAGTTGGTTTAAGTTGGCCCATTAGTTGATTTAAGTTGCTGTCATTGTCACGACTTTACCTTCTTCTTGGTTGATATTTTTGGACTCACCTTCTACTTTTCCTTGGGGGCTACTGGACTCATCAGCAAATTCAAGAGCTGAAAAACGGAGGTCGATGTGCTTTTATTTTTCTTTGGTTTAAGATTTTGATGCACAGCTTTTCACCGTCGTCTCAATGTTTTCTGGCTTCCTTTTTGCGTCCTTTCTGCGTTTTCTAGCCCTTAGTTTGAACCACAGCAAAAATTGCAGTTGGTGTAACTTTTAAGCTCGAAGGAGCTGGAAGAGCACCATCCATTCATTCAATAAGTAACTTCGTTTTTTGCTGTAGAGAATTTCAGTAGAGGATAAATGGTGCTATGCCTTTGAAATTGAAATAAAATATCATAAAAATAACTTTAATATATAATACAACTACTCAGGTTTTATATTTATTTTTTATTGGTGAGAGTTTCACAAACATAAATGTTACTGAAAGTTCATATGATCATTCATTTTAGAGTTTATAAGATTAATCGAGTTATACACAAGTTAACCTAAACACTTATATTAATTTAAAAAAATATATTATAAAAAAACTAATCTAGATCATAGTTATTATTAGTTCATTGACATGGCATGCCATAGATTGAATTATTTTATTTTTAAGTATAAAAATAAAAGTACCAAAGTTGCCATAATTTTTTTTTGCAACATTATTAAACTTTATAAATTGAATAACCAGTAATGATAATGTGATTTGGAAAAATGATTTTTTTTTATCACTAGGATATGATGGAAAAAAAAATTTTGGGAAGAAGAATAATCCATTGTGGAAGTTTATAATGAATTGTGATAAGAGATACAGTGGCATGAAGAACAATAATTTCCTCAATTTATTGCGAGTTGTTTTTTTTTTAATAAAAATTAGATATGCAGGCTTTTCCAATATATTTTCTTACATGAACAAATTCTAAGTGTAGATTAATAAGTTTATACAAGCATTTAATTAAATAAATCGAGAACTATTTATATAAATAAATGAAAAGGAATAATTAACAATAACTACCAACGAAACTGAAAAAATCAAGAAATAAATATAAATCAAAATATTCTGTATCATAAAATAAGATATTTAATTAATTGTGTTTATTGAATTTATTTATTAAAATTAATTTTTTTTATTCAAGTAAATGATAATCGAGATAGACATATACATGGAATTCGTTATATATATATATATATATATATATATATAAAAGAATGTACATATTAGAAATAATATTATTTTTATTTTAAAAAATATATTTTATCCATGTAATACATAAAAAAAGTTATTGATGAATCAGAATAATATTTTCAAAAATTAAATACATACAAAAAAAAATTTAAAAAAACAAATCTATTTCAAAAAGGTTAAATAAAAAAATCATAAAGAATGGATATTAATTGAAACATAAATTAAAAAATTATTTTAAAAAAAAATATATTAAAAGAAGGTGTCTATTAAAAATAACCATAATTACAATTAAAAAAAAACAATGATAATTGAGATGTCGCAAGTACATGTCAAGATATAAGAAAAACAAACTATTTGGGTTATAGCCCCAATCGAGTTTAATAAGTTAATTTTATTTTAATTAATTAATAAAAATATATACAATGATAGTAAATAGACATTTAAAAAACCACGATAATTTTTTTAAAAAAAACTTTGACAATTAAAAAATAAATAAATAAGAGATAAAAAAAAACTCGGTCATGTACAGTAACATAATAGACATTTAACTTAGACAATAAAAGATAAGTCGACCAAGGTTAATCCACAAAAAAAATCATGACATGAGTTATAAAATTGAAATAACTTAATAAAAAAAATACAAAGTCAATCTTTAAAGAAAGGGTTAGATTAAAAAGAAATAGCCTTAATAAAAAAAAAATTAAAAGAATAAATATCAAATAAAAAAATACATCATAAACTTAAATTGAATGATGAAATTAAAAGCTAATAAAACTTTAAAAAAATCAAGAAAAAAAATTATAAATTAAAAAATATATGACAAATTAAAATTCAATGATAATTGAAAACAAATAAAAACACTATCAATTAACAACTTTAATTTTTTTTAATTTTGAAGATAATTTAGTTATTTTATCATTTCAAAAGTTTTAAAGACATGTGCCCTTGAACAATTATTTTTTGAGAAATGAATATGAATAAAAAAAACCAAATTATCTCATTTTGTGTTTGAATGAGGGAAAAAAAAGCGCCTGGGAACGTGATTATGGAAAGGATCTCGTATTGGCTTCTTGCCAATAAAATAATTTTTTTATTTTAAAAAAATTAATTTTTATTAGCATCAATTTAAAAATATAAAAATTTAATTTAATTATTCCATTTAAGACGCAATACTAACAGAACTTTAGATCAATTTGAGAAGACATTGGAGGGAGGGGGTAAAAGGTGGATTGTTTTCCATTGGCTGACATGTTGACTGCCTTCGAGACTCAAAAATCTAACCCGACCCAACCAAAAGGCACTAGACAGAGCCCATTATCTCGGTCTATGGCAGAAATTTTTGCAATCAGCGCTCATCTCTTGGTGAAGGGCGGGGTTCCTTTCTAGTCTTGCCCAGAAACCTATGTTTATTTTCATTGGAGAAAAATGTTTTTGCGAGATTTTGTAATAATTAATATGTCATAGTTTACAATTTCATAGGATGTATAGAAAGTGAAGGTCTCCTCACCCAAATGAAGTAAGATGCCATCGGCAGTAGCTGGCGTAAAGCAGAGGAGAATAGCAATCTACTCGTTGAACAAATAAACGCATCTAGAATTATATTAAAAAAAAAAAAAAACCAGGTCTCGATAGCTAGCCAATTTTTTTTTATTCACTTTGTATTCATGGATGAAAAACCGGAGAAAATTCCTACAAAAAAGCAAAATTGTGAATTCCAAAACTATTCAATTTCAAGTCTGTGAAACATCAAGCACAAATTCATCCTCTTTGTTATCATTTTGTACTCTTCCATGCTTGGTCCTGCTTGTTTTTTGTATATAAAAGGGCATCAAGGGAGACATAAATGGTATACTAGATACAAAACTAGGCATGCAAAGTTAGCACATTCACCAGCAGCTATGTCCAGTAAACAAAAAAAAAAAATCTGCCTGGTATCATTCAGTAGAAAAGATTTGTGGATGATTTGATTATCACAACTCAAACTATTCAAATGATGATCATTTTGCATAGATCTACATAATGCATGGACAGTTCAAATCTATGGTAGAGCCTAGTGATGGAATAACAACAAAATCCTAGAGCAAATGTTACTAAGTTGTTTGCAGTTTGAAACCAGAAATGACATAAAAAGCAATTAAGAGTAATCCAATCGATGATTCATCAACAACTTTTCTTTTGCAACAAGGAACCATCAAAAACTTTCTGGTTGCAAATCAGCATGCCAATTCACATCTCTAACAAGCTCCAAACTCGGATGTATCTTTGCACTATCATGTAGGCTTAAATTGTGACAAATCGTCTCAAGCTAGCCAGTTTGTTTTGATTCACTTTGTATTCACGGATGAAAAACCAAAGGTAAATTCAAGTCAATACAAATTCAAGTCAATACTATTTATCATATTTTCAAGTAACAAATATTGAGTAAAAAAAAAAAGGAAAACAGATAGTTGATTAAAAAAAACACTAATAAGTAAATTTCAAAAGACATCATCAGCAACATTGCTTACTCATATCAGTCCCACAGCTCAAGCAAAATCCAAAAAACAATTAAGAGTTCCACTTCCACCCAAAACAACAGGTGGCTTCCTATTTTTGGTTAATAATTTGCTTTCACTTGATTGTTAACAACACTTGTCGGGTTTGAGTTCCAAAGTAATTTTCTTACTCTGTGCTTGAGAGGGAAAAGCAGTCATGGCTCAGACTTGAGAAGCTCTTCAACAGAATTTCTATACTTGCCAATTAGCTCCCTGATATTGAGATATATATTAATTTCATATATCAAGCAAGTCAAGAACAAAAGCAAAGAAATACTTTTTAGAGAATATTTACCTCCTTTGATTTAGCAGTTGTTCACTTTCCTCCAGCTTTCGCTTTTGTCCCTCAACTGTCTGCACAAAATATAAAAAAGATTACAAAATCAAAACATTGGAACTTTGATGAACCATTAGGCTTAATATAAACATCCTAAAATGACTGTGGTTTTGCATTGCAATTTCATGGGAATTTGGTAATATATATACATCATGAATCAGGTTAATGATAATGTGAGCCGATGCACTAAGGTTTCTATATTTCTTCCATCATCTCGACTCTAAATCATTGCATTTGTTCCACATTCTAAAGACGATCAAACGCGACATAAACAATCAGATACGACAGTATCTCCGCTATTAAAACAAAACAGTAATGTGACTATTATTACATCTTATATATATATATATATATATATAACTATCAAAACTCTAGAGAAAATAAACCCAAAAAAAAAAAGATTAATGGTTTAGAACAGATAATTACCATGGCTTTAGCATTAATTGAGCTTGAAATGGAATTCAACAGCTGCTGACACTTGTCAAAGTGAGTGTTCAATTCATTGACCTTTCCAATGAAACAAAAAGAACCCATTTTAGATCGAACTTGTAATCTCCTATTTTCTCAATTCTAAAACACAGTAGACAAAAAGAAAATTCCCATATAAATAATTATTCTTCTTCTTTTTAATTCTTTTTTGAAAAAGAAAAGAAACAAACCAACCAAAGCATCAGAATGCTGATCCCGAGTTCCATTCTCAATAGCATCAGCTAAGTTCTCCGCCAACTGCAAACAAACAATCAATACAAACCCCTTAATCTTGTATAGCACAATATATGTGTGTATGTACAGATAAAGAGGGTTGAGTTGGTAACATGTAAGAGATGAAAGTGTGAAGCCAATGATTGGTGGTGATGGTTCTGTTGCTGCACTTGCGGTTGTTGCTGTTGTTGAATAAAACGTTGTTGCTGATATTGCTGCTGCTGTTGAAATTGCTGCTGCTGTTGATTAAACTGCTGCTGCTGCTGAAACTGAGTAAATTGTGGTTGTTGCTGCTGTGGAGAGAGGTAAAACTGGTCTTGATTTGAGTGTGCAGGCGAGCCACTGTGTGTCTGCACGCTTGGGATCACTGTCCAGCTCCCTCCTCCACTGAATGATTGATCCATTGCTCCCTACCTCCCTCCGTCTCTCTCTCTCTCCAAAACGCTGAACCCTTCTAATTCTACTTTCCTTTAAAGAAGAGGAGGCAAGCCAAGCTCACGAAACTACTCGTCGATTCGTATTGGTGGAACGTCGACTCCTAATAAACGACACGTAGTTTCGTCGTAGGCGGGGGTAACTACATCTAGAGATCACAATTAATTTCATCATTTAATATACATTCCAAATACCTCAAAAAAACATAGTTTTTTTAATTAAATAATAAATAACATCTTTGTATTCAAAACTTAAATAGTTAATTTTTACTTAATATAATAATTATAATTATAAAAAAAAATAAAAAAATAATAATTTTATTATATCACATTCATCATGCTCATGATTCATTGTGAATTTCAATATAAAAAAATTCATTTTAATTATTATTATTTATTATTGCATTTTACATATATGGTTTGTGATATTTTATGAATTAGTCTCTTTTATATATATACACTTTAGAATTAAAGGTTTTAATTAAATTACAGAATTTTATTAAATGTTAATTTAATAAAATATAGTTTAAATTTGTAATATAAAGACACGATTAAAAATAAAAAAACCAAATTGAGAACCATAAAGAAAAAAAGGTATTAACTCAAATTCAAGGGAAAGAATATTTGCTTTTTTAGTCTATTTAGTTTGAGAATTTTATACTTTGATTTATAACTTTGTTTTATTTACATTTCAATTCTCAAGTTTAATAGAAGAGAGGTCTATTGGAAAATTTGGAAGGAGAAAAAAAATGATTGATTAGTCACATTCTAATAATAAAAAAAACTGATTTTGATATTAATAGGTTATATTTTATTAAAATGTATTTTATTCTTCATCTTGTTAGAAAAAATAGATAAGGACTCGAGACTTTTCTTACTCTAAATGATTTTTTTTATTTTTTGATCAATTAAAGGTTGATTTGAGGTTAAAATGAGTTTATTAAATGTTTTTAGAATGTTTTTTATGTGTTTTCAAGTAAAAAGATTATTTAAAAATTCTTTTTTTTTACTCTAGAAGTTGGAACCTAACTTTCTAGCAACATGAGGTGAATGAAATCCTATTAATTAAGGACATGTAGTTTGCAATTATAAATGATGCTTCATTTAATTTTTTCTTTTTTTTTAAAAGAATTTGGATAGATGGCTTTACACTATTGATTAGAACTTAAAAGTATATTTTTATCATGGTTTTATATCATCATTTTGCACTTGAAGTATCGATAACTTCTTAACTAAAGCATGTTTTATAATAATATATCTAATAATATAAGATACCTTTAATTTATGGTAAATATTCATTTTAAATGCAGGCCTATCA